GTCACTCGCTGCAGTAATTTAGATTGGCCACTGAGTGGCAAAAGAGATCCAAAATTGTAACCCTTGAACCAGACTTGAATCATGAGGTTCACTTCAAAATGATTCATATCCGGCGGGCCAAGTCATTTTTGATTTGATGAATGAATGGGAGAATGGGCAATGAATCTTCCGGATTAGGAAATGACCCAGGAAAGTGAGAAAACAGTGCTGGACGTTGTTTTGGGAGAGACATTGAAAAAGGTCCCATCTCCAAAATGCTAGATATTGTTTTTCAAAGTATACGTTTGCAATCTTATGTTTATAGTAGATAACAATACTCGAAGTCAGCGGTCACCCCCGTGGTGAAACTGGGATTCTGTGTGAATGGTTGTTTGTGTCCTGTGATTGGTTGGCGACCAGCCCAGAGCGCGTGTGTGTGACCCGCCTCTTGACCAAAAACATCTCAGGTAGGCTCCGGCTCAACCCCGACCCCTAATGAGGATGAGCGCAGCGTGGTTTCAGCACAGTTAAGGGACACTGCCGGAGCATTTGAGAGCCGAGAGAACGCCTTGATTTTACACACTTGTTATTTTCTTTCATCGTTCAGAACACCAAATTTACAAGATATTTTCACTCTACAGGAACTTCAACAACTCAAGGGAGCCACTTTCCAAATGAGACATCTCGTTTCACAGGCAACAATGAAAATGCCTTTGGTGGCGCTAATAAACACACAAAATATTACGATCAGGAAAAGGTATTTTTATTCAATGGAAACAACAGAACTGAGTTTTCACCACCACATCGTCCATCTTTCAGACTACAGTGGATTCATTCTGAACCGGTAAATAAGAGAAACATATAAATAAAACTGATGCCAATAAATATTAAATTAAAACCTGGAAGTATATTTTAAATATATGAACTCAGTATAAGGCTGTTGTGTTTGTCTCTCCGTGATGGTAAGAAGTGGTGTTTACTCTCGCTTTCCGTGCTTCCCTGTAAAACACACACACACAAAAAAAAAAAAAAATGCACGTCATGTCAGAGCTACGTTGAATATGAGATACGCGTTTTAAAAAAAAACACATATTAACGGAAAAAGGCAAAGACAAAAGTCAACTCACTCAAGCTCCATGACCTTCTTAATGATCCAGTCCTGCTTCCAGTGGCTGCACACTTCTCCCTCAGTGGTCTCAAATCTGAGCGGCGGATAAAAGAAACCGCTCAAAATCTCGTTTCGCTTCAACAAAAGATTCATCACATTGAAGCGTCGTAGGCTCTTTGCGTTCTTACACGATAGCGCGGATACAAGGAAGGTTCTTCCTCTGGATCCTGTAGCCAATGATTGGGGCAGAAATCGGCCCCAAGGTGCTTCTAGTGCAGCAGGAGGTCATCTTAATTCCTGTTCACATGCAAAGAATAGATTTCACTTTCAGCATCGTGTGAAATACTGCCGCCTCAGCAGGATCGGATGACTTACCGGGGCCTGCGGCAGCCAATGCAAGGTAGCCTATGAAAAGGGCCACGCATGCCAGTCTTGCAGTGTTCACTTGCATGATTGTTTATTGAGATGGTTCCAGATGACCAGCTGAACGTTTGATCCGGCAGGAGGAGAAGGCTGATCCCCTCTGGTCAGACTTGTGGGTTTTATAGGGGAAAAAGGGGAAGCCAACTGACCGCAGGCATCATCTTGTACTCGACAGCGTTGGGAGGGTCGGTGACGCACTTCTTTCCCTTGATTTCATCATTACAGTTACATTACTGAAATCTAACACAGCCTCGTCATCCAACTTGGCTATTTTATACATTTTAATAGCATAGAAAAGTTTGGATCTGTTACACCAAGGATGTTGGATTTAAAGTTTTTTCAGATCCATACTAGTTCGAGTATTCGCTCTTTCAGTATTCATCTGACACGGAATCCCGAAACATCGAGTGCTTTTGATACAAACTACTGCCGAGAAGGACTTACTCTATTTTAGTATTTAGTTCTTCTTGCCTTAAGTAGCGGTGCCTGAGTACCCAATAACTTAAAATAGGACAGTATCGGCTTGATATTATCTGCCCATCCCAAAGTTACACCCACACTTTCACAGTACAGGGGACCGGGGTTCGATTCTGGGCCCCAGCATTCCTGCATAGACTTCTCCCCGTGCCTGCTTGGGTTTTCTCTGGGTACGCCTCATTTCCTCCCACAATTCAAAAAAATGCACGTTTGGTTAATTGACCACTCAAAATTGCCCTCTGATGTGATTAATGTGTTTTAATGGTTGTTTGTTTATGTGTCACCTGTTTATGACTGTCATTGATATTGAAAATAAACGGTATGGGGCCCAAAATTGACCCTTGGGGGATACCACAAAAAATATACACATAAGATGAATGTCACCCAACTTAACTGGTTGGTGGTTTAATTATAATTTATGAAGACAATATTATTTGGGGGTGTCTATGACTGGCTGTGTTTACTATTCACGCTAGGGCATGGTCTCTATCCCTTATGAGTTGTAGGGGTTTACTGTATCTTATAGCTATGGGTATCATTGCAAAATATTGTTCCTCACCCCTAGTTTTGAGTATTATGCCGCTCTCACGCAGCTAAACAAGGCGACCAGAATATTAGAAACAGCTGTCAGAATGATGCAATGCTATTCTACACCACTGCAAACAAAGACGTCTATAACACCATATATTACTGTTATATCTATTTTCCAACACACCGGAGATTATACATTTTGGAATTTGTTACGGGTGATAAGAGGTCATATTTTATTTGATCATTTATTGTTCAACCATCCATCTGTATGATTGTTGAATACAGTATTACAGGACTCTGTGGTATCAGAGGAATTGTCAGTGATCTCGCTAGAATCATGTCCTGTCTTGTCCCGACAGACTGACTGACTACTTAGGGGTGGACAGCAATCTTATTGCGAAATATGAATGGCGCCCTTGAAGTAATGTTATCTTGATGATTTCAGCAAAAAAAAAACCCAAACAAAAAACCACATACATGCACATGCTGATCACTTGTAAATGTGCCATGCTGTATTTCTTTTGTTTCAAAAAGAAAGGGGAAGGAAAGAGATCCTGAGGTTTGCACCGCAAACATCCGCCCAAATTTTTGGTCATTAGTCAGTCGGCATGAGTCTCAACTTGTTTGTGAATTAGACTGAATAGTTATCCATTCATTTTCTGTATTGCTTGTCCTCGCCCGGGGTCACGGTGAAGCTGGAGCCCGTCCCGGCTGACTTTTGGGCAAGAAGCGGGGAAACATTCAAATGGGAGACTATGAACGGCAAGTCAGTTTGACATCATTGTTTCTAAGATCTCTGTAGTTGGGCGGGAAAGAGTTAATGTTAGCTTGCTGATGGTAGAAAGCGACTCTTTTTTTTTTTTTACCCAAACAATGCTATCATTTCAACAAAGATTGTCTGTAACTGAAGCAAAAGGAGAATATGGATGAGCACAGGAATGCGCCATTTGTTTCCAAAGGATGACAAATACAGTTTGACGCCACCACGATTCGTCATCATTCTGAAAGTTAGGCCCGTGTGTCCGTACAGTGCCGGCAGTAAATATAACACGGCCGAAATTGCGCTGAAGTTTCTGAATGAAACATTAGAATTCGTTGCAAGTGAAAAGAAGAAGTGCCACCCACAAGGAGGAAGGAAGCATTCACTAAAATCGAGGACCCACTTCTCTGAATCTTATCATGTGATTGCCAGATCGTGAATGAATGAATAAAGATTCATTTCATTTTTCAGGGCCGTGGCAGACAGACAAAGATTATTAATCTGATGGAGAGATTGAGACCATTGCAGATTGAAGATCTGGTGAAACGGTCTCAGAATGACTCATCGGATTCCAGAGATCCACAGAGATAACGGAGATGGTAAAATTACTGACTCATAATCACACTGTACCAGGAAAATAAGAACTGTCGTCGTTGCGGAAGATTTCATATGAAAAAAGAGTTGAGGCAAAACTGTTTTGGTCGACTGGCACCCCTGGCGTAAAAACATGCACAACTTCATTTTAGTATTGTCTAGTGTAGACTGTATGGGACCGCGATGCGCCTCACTGGGTGTTTTGCTTCATCATCTTCAACCAAAAGTCTGTGACGAATGCTTAATGGACATTTTTTTTCGTGTTTCATACATTAAAGATAAAAAAATGTCAAGGTGGACCTTGATAATGCTGCATGCAGTCATGCAGGAAAAAGTTGTCGACACAACCACGTGAGTACAACATGCACTTCCTTTCAGCAAAGATCAAGTGACCACAAACAAGGGGGGAGTTTTAGGGAAACTTTGTTGGTACGCTGTATCCGTTTACATACCGCAAGTTGTTCTGTGAGCGTCACTTTCTCTCTTAGAATGAAAACCCACGGCCGAGTTTATTTCTCACGAGCTTTCAAGGGCAGATAAAGACATATGCAGTCTGCGATCGCTTGAAAGTAACTCGATGATGAACTAGATATTTTGGGATGGGGTAAATAGTGTGTTTCTATATATGAACTGAATAAACGGTGCTGAAAAATGGCGGTAGAAAAAGTCATACGTCATCATCAATAAGTGAAAAATTTTTTTGTTGCAGCAGCCACACAGCACCATAGCACAATAGCACATTACAAAAGCCGACTGGGGAACTTTTAAAAATGTGCCCGTTCTACTTGTTTGCTGTCATGGCTGCGAAATGTCGTGTTAATTACACAAGTTGGGACAAATACAAATAAAATATAGTAACTGGCTCCTCACACCAACACAATGAGTGTCGCACTGTGACCCTGTACTGGGTTTTTAGATTCCACAAACATTATACTGTACTGTAATGTATTATTTTTTTATTCAACCGCAAAAACATGGCATGATTGTCAAGGAAGTTGCGGATTACCCCCCCAAAAATAATGGAGAGCATGTGGATCGTTTGAGAGGCTTTCAGCAATGTTTACTCACTGACGGCATTCATTCATTTCCGCGACAGATACTCTCCACGCTTTGCTTTTCTAAATAATGGAGAGCATGTGGATCGTTTGAGAGGCTTTTTGCAATGTTTGCACGCTGGTACTCACTGACGGCATTCATGCATTTCCGCGACAGATACTCTCCACGCTTTGCTTTCATCTCGCTTCGTGTGCGGCGGGGCTTCATTTCCTCCCTTTGTGGCAGTTCACTTCTTCCTTGACAATGGTGACATGTTTTTGTGGTTCAGTACAAGACATGTGTTTTATTATTTTCGAAAAACCCGATAGATGGTCGCAAATCCCAAGTCCTAAAATTGGTGACCTAAGACTGACTCGAGTCCAGTCCTGTGTCGAGTGCCCCAACTCTGCTGAATGCACCATAAAACACACATACAAACAAACAGACACAAAAAAAGTGGATCTGTTTCTCCCGTCATGCACAAAGCCGAGAAATTGGATTGACTGCGAAGATCAAGATGAAATATTGGCTATTATTCACAAATGAAGGTGGATTGTAATTGAAAAAGAATGTGCTCTGACACGAGACTCCTGCAAGAGAAAAGTAGGCCATTGACACCCTCGGTCTTGATCGAAAAGAAGGCCAAGGGCTGTTTTGGCTTTTTTTCTGTGGGAGGAAAGTTTGATTATTTCCAGGTGTATGTGCGACTGCGGGTGCATCGTGACACAAATTCACATATTTGACGACGTTCGCCGGCTTTAAAAGCCCGCAGTGCAAACATCCACTTCACACCTGATTACGTCCGACATGTGCGATGACAGCTCTTAATGCTGACCAAGTACTATATCCAACGCCCCCCCTCTTGTGCTTTGCATGCCGTGGTGTAAGTTACATTTGAAATATTTTCGACAGTGCATCTGTTCTCTTGAATGCATATTTGATATATTGTCTCTATTATGCGATATATTACCAATGAGAAATTACAAGGAAAGTATTTTAAGCAGATGTGTCCAAACTCCAGACCAGGGGGCATTTGTGGCCTGCTTTATGTTATTATTAACCTTTTTTTTTTTAACTTTTTAAATTTACTTTTATAGTCACATGTCTGAGATTTAATGTAAGGTGTGACATTATTTAAAAAAAATGTAAAATTGTAAAAAAATAAAAAATAAGCCCCAAAACCCCATGTACTATATCACGTTATTTTAAATTTAAAAAGATGATGTTGGAAAGGTTTTAATTGACTTTTCTCCACCTTATGTTTCTTTTGTACTTATTTCTCAGTTTCGTCACATTACAAGGCAAGAGAATCTGCGCCGACCCGACCAAGTTGTGGACCCAAACTAGCATGGCATACCTCGACGGGAAGAACTGTCATGCCCAAAAGCTAGGCACAAAATGGAAGCGAGCACACCGCTTCACATGAACTGTAGTAATGTCTTCATATTTTGTACATTAAAAGGCTCCTTTTTTGTAAAAAAAAAAAAAAAAAAAAAAAGGTCACCCCTCTAGTACAGCTTTTCCATGTAAACCAGAAACAGACCATGCAAATTAAGAAAATGTTTTTTATTTGTTTGTTTGTATTTTTAGCAAAGTTGGAACTAAGCCAATGTCTGCAAGAGCTCTCTAAATAAAGAAAGGCTTTTGAAAGACATTTCTTGGAAGAAAGTCAATAAAAGAGTCGCCAGCTGTCAGATCTGAGATGCGGCCATTCTTTGAGGAGTTACTTAGATATGCCAGAGCGTTACCCTCGTTCGCCGGGGTAAATGAAATTCTATTCTATTCTTTGACCACAAATGACTCAGATGGTATTCAGATGTTTTACACAGCCCTCCACAGCCCCCTTACTTCCTGGTACGTAGATGAGTCAGGGCGGTCGGTCTTCTGACTGCCCAGGTGGAGGTTTAGGGGGCTTCCAGTCCAGACATATTTGCTTACAATGTGTGGGAAGAGAACTGCTGCTTCTCAGTGGAGCTTTGAGGAGGTGAATGGATTTTCCTTGATGCAGACGTCAATCACAATGATAGACTCCTCCCACCCACCAGCCTATGGGGCATTTATGGGGCAGTGTGTGAGACTACGTACTGGATTAAATTTGTGGTTACCGGGTAATGTGTACTCAAAGTTTTCCCACATTGGCTGAATTGAGGGCTACCATGAAACGGACAACTTTTAAAACGATCTACCCTACTTGTAATCATTTTATTGGGGGCTTTGTGAAATCAGAGGACTCGACTGTCATGTCATCGATCCATTGCAAGTCAGCTGAAACTGGCGACACAGGTTTAAATGATACTTTTTTTTTTATTGGTATCAAGCTTTCCTTTTCTGTCTTGCATTCCACAGATTTACACAACTGTTACAGTATAGTACATCATTGTATTGTATTGAACAATATACTGTGCAATAGTGCAGTGCGGGCTTGCATAGTACACTGGAGTATAGTACAGCCAAGAATAATGCAACATAGTACAGAGTACAGTAAGGTTGGAAAAGCGCAAAGAACTCCCTGTGTTGTGTAACTAGCTAGCTAGCTAGCTAGCTCGATAGATAGCCAGCTCGATAGATAGCTAGCTAGCTAGCTAGCAAGCTCGATAGATAGCTAGGTAGCTAGATAGATAGATAGCGCCAGCGTGGGTTTTCTCCGGGTACTCCGGTTTCCTCCCACATCCCAAAAACATGTGTGGCAGTTTAATGTGACACTCTAAATTTTCCTTGGGTGTGATTGTGAGTGCAAATGGTTGTTTGTCTATGTGTGTCCCCGCGATTGCCTGGCAAACAGTTCAGGGTGTACTCCGTCTACTTCTCGAAGAGGGCTGGGATAGGCTCCAGCACGCGCCGCGACCCTCGTGAGGTTAAGCGGATTTGAAAATGGATGGATGGATGGATTTACATACTGCACATATATCATTGTTAAAACACATTTATTTCGGACATTCGTTCAAATGTATCTACACCCGCGTCTTGCCTTTTTTCATTCGTGGCAGCTTTCCCCTTCGACGTTTCCTCCCTTGTGAATTTCTTGACGGGGTGCACGGTACAGTCGTCCCACTGGCCCCTGCGGATTTGTCGTTGCTCTCTTCCTTCCGCTGCAAAGCTCTGCCATCTACTTTGAACATGGCTCTCTGAGTCCAACAACTGTTGGGGTCTGCGCAAATTCTTTTGCGGCCGTGAGTGGAAAACCTAAAATGGAGGGGCAATATTTTAATGGTCACACAGAAAAGTCTATTTTCTTGTTTTTCTTTTTTTTTTGTAAAACAGTGGTGTGGAAAATGAGGAAATGGTGTGTTGAACCAAATTGGAGTCTAATTCGCAATAATTCATTCAGTTGTCATTGGAATGAACAAGAGCTGTCGCTGTCTGTTAAGCTGTCCTTTCTAATGAAAAATGGAATGGCAATTTTTGCAAACATACCTACATCTACTCTGTTCTATAAATATGAAGTACATATGGTGTATCTTTTTTATCTCGATAGCCAAGGATTTACTTACACTACTGCCTTGAAGGAACACGCGCCCACAGACTGAATAACGTAGCTCTTGATTCGATTCAGGCTAACTGTGGTGTTGGACAAGCCAGGACAGCAGTCCGAAACAGGCCCGTGCGCTACGCAAGACAAACGCAAAGAAAACCATTACACGGACATTCAGATCAAATGATGATTTCAATTACATTTTTTTTTTTTCTTAAACAACACTCACTTGTGAGGGCCGAGGTCATCCACAGAGACAAGCAGAGAAGAATTAGGTTGAGTCTCATCTTTGGACAGGAACAACAACAGAGCTGCCGGTGATTTGAATGACAGACCAGTGAGCGGATGAAATTAATCCAGTTTAGGATCGAGGCTCTTATAGAATATAGAAACTCCCACCTCTTCCATGAAGTTGTCTTTCTGTGGTGGCTTGATAGGCGGCGGTGGAATTGATGAGCGAGGAGACCACTGACCACAGTTCTACCCACAATGAAACAATAGTTTCACACTCTCACACATCACCTCCTTGGAAAAAAGTCTCACGTGGCTCTCGTCAGTGTACACACCATTATCTATTTTAAGCGGACCACACACGTAGACGTGCAAAGATCAAGGTGTAAACACGCCCAGCCCCCTGAGCTGCTCGTTTGCTCCCATTTGTATATCGAATCATTTTTTATGTCACAACCCAAGTCTTTTTTTGTTGCCAGCTAATCACCCCAAATGGCTGTGCTTACCTCATGAAGTAATAGTCGCACCGATGAGGCAATTAAGAGGTTATGTGCATCGTTTATAAAAAATATATATATTTTGTATTTTGTCATGTCAAATTGTTTTACTAAGCCCTTAATCACAAAAGTGTCTCAGAAGGCTTCATAAAACCACCTTTGACAATAATGATCCCCTGATCTAAACCCCCCAACAGGGCAAGGGAAAAAACCATGCGGGCGGAAAAAAAAAAACCCCAGAGGGGACCACAGATGCAAAGGATGCAGAGTGAGCAGCATTAATCACGGAATGTGGTGTCACACAATGTTAACTAAAACAGTGGGTGGGCACATTGGGAACCTGCAGACTTCCATTTGGCTCTCGGAAATCAGCAAAAGACCAGCGCGTTATCAACAAAGGTTTCGGGATGGAACGTACGGTGCCACTAAGTTGCTTCGAAAGGATTTTGCTCAGCTGTGTTTTCATTTATGACTAAGAAAAAAAACAAAACTTGAAATTGCATCTCAGGTGGACCGGGAGCCAGTTCAAATTTTCTCGTACAGTCTTGGGATGATACTTTCTTGTCCTCGTTGGGAGTCTTTCTACAGCTTTTTGTCCTAACTGCAGGCTTTTAAGACGAGACATGGGAAAACTAGAAAGCAACACGCCACAATTGTCAAGGCGAGACGTAACAAACGCTTGTATTATGATCTCGGCAGAAAGAATGAGAGCGGATTTGGGAATATGGGCGACACTCCGCCATCGTACGAGCTTTTAAAAAAAGTAAAACTAATGCTAAAACCAATTAAAAACTAAACTAAAATCAAGCATGTTCGGAAAATTAAAAAAGGAATCAAAACTAACAAATCTCCTCCCAAAACTCAGTGCAACTAGCTGAAATGAAACAGCAAAAATCTAAACTACTTAAAAACAAACTAGAATGCAAAATCCCAAGCCATTCTAACCCTGGTTTGCAGTACCTTCATAATTGTTTTTCTTTTTCCACACAAAACCACCCACCCGGAGGTCCACCTGATGCACGCGCTGCTGTGTTGTCTACTCATGTGAGAAAGCCCACAGCGTTCACACTGATCCACATAACTCCCAACTCGCAATATGTCGGACTCATCATTATCATTGCCTCTCTGGATTATTCATCCTTCTCCAATTCATTAGTTGTCGTCCTGGCAGCAGCCTCGACTGTCGGCAGGACGACAGCGTCGCTGATTTAGAATTAGTCTCTTGATAAAGCCGGCGACTGGAATGTTGCATGGCAGGAAATTGCAATCAATACCGACTCTCATATTCTCATTGGATATTGACCGCACGGAGGGACATGGCAGCCCATTTTCAGGTATAGATGCGAGGGAGGTGCATCCTCGCCACGCAACGCATCGTCAACAGAATAAGGAAGCCCGGGAAGAACTTTTAAAAGGGCACGGTGGATAAAAGTATTGGGACAATTGGCGATGACATCGACGGTAACTTATAGAGCCCCTTCTTGTGGAAGTACGAAATTGTGCAAAATGTCTTTGTTGTGGTGAAACCTCCAGTTCGTAATTGAGCCTGTATGAGAGCCTCCTGACGTGGGTCCCGAGACTTTTACATGCAGTGTAGCCTCATGTAACTTGTACACAGACTGTAGATGTCTTGAGTCCGCTATCTTAATGCTAATGCTAACAGCCACCGAGATTTAAACACAAACGGTGCAGCAACACATTCAACATATCAGTACGCGCAGTCGTATAATCTTTATCCTCTGCGAAGAGCGGAGACATCTACACTGTCTGTCGAAAACCTTTTTATTTGTGTTTAATTTTGACATTTCTGTAGTTTTTAACAATCGAAATATTGTACGGTGCTGTTTTTATGCTCCTCTCAAATTTCGAATCCTTCTTTTTCATTTTACAGGGACTTTTTGAGTGCAAAAATACATCAGTCATCCTATGACATAAAACAAAAACAAACTTTTAGCAAATCCTTCTTCACTTGTATGATGAGGAGCAGTGTGAAGTTCAATCGAGTTGAAAATGCCGCTCACACTTTTTTTTTCTTTTTTTTTTTTTACATTTCTCAAAAGTGTACATGAAACATGAAAATATAACACATACAACGGGGATTTTATTTCTTTTTGCCCTGTCATCAGAACCAGATAATGGACGATATAATAAGCTTTAAAGAACAAGTCTGATGAACAATATGAACAGCTTTTAATAATTTAATACTCAGATATGAAACCGAGGGTTCCTCACAGATAAACCAAACGGACCCCTGAGTGCTGCGGATGTGTGCTCCAGAAATTACAGGATGTTTGATGGCTAAATTTGGCTCTCTTTGTTTTTAATGAGGATTCGGCTGCAAACGTCTTCAAGCTTTCGATTCATCCTTCTTGCCGCTCGAGGAATGTTTTTGATTCATCCCCGGAAGATAAAGATGTCATTTTTTTTTTCCTTTCCCTCACCATCAGAGAGGACTCCTCCTTCCTCCTATCTTTGTAAACACGGTGGGAAGTTCATCTGGAGTCATGGAAAATAATTGGACCAGAAACTTTTTTTTTCTTGGTGTTGCTGCTGTTGGAGGGCGAAGTGTTTTAAGACGTTTATTTCTGTTCTGAAGAGCACAGATGATTTTGATTTGTAAGACTGGGCAGCGATCGATCCCATGACCTTTATCAACAACTCCGACTCGCGAGAGGTCCATAAAACCTCACGCGTTTTATCCTGAGCCCCGACCATTCAGGCTCTTTCTCGTGTCCGACGACAGTATTTTACTTGACCCGTTTTTATGACTATCCTTTATCTTTTTGCTCACTTCATTTCAACAGCCGAGAAATTGATCCTAAGCCATTCCCAAGGGCCTTTATGGATGCGTATTCCTACTCAATAGCACGGGATGAACACAAATCCCTCTTGGGAATTGTCATTTTCTCTTCAAATTAATATTTCAATTAGCAAAGTCATTTCCTGAAGGCGGTGAGGTTGAAATGAAACTGACCCTCCTGCCCCCCGGTATCCATCTTATTGCTATTGACCCCGCCTGCACACAAAGCTTCAATTGCGGTTCGAGCCGCCATTTAGAGCTTGGCGTCAATAATTGACGTCAAGCGAGGCTTCTATTACCGTAGGCATTAGCATAGACATTGCTCTCGTGGCTCCGCAGGCGCTTTGGATGTCTTGTGAGAGCGACTGACCAACCCGGCGCCTGTGGCACACGATCCAAAGGGACACTAAAGTCTAATCAATATATGCTTTAATTATAATGGCGCTCAGCCCGCGGTTCTTCACGCTTGGGCAGCATGCAATGCCACAGCTGATCCGGCGTGATCGTTTCTGAGGCGCTGGCTTTTCACCGCCTCAGTAACTTGTCTCTCTCTTGCCAATGCCATTATAGACAGCAAATTGTCCTCCCTTCTCCTTAAGATTGGGAAAATGGGCCGATTAGTAGAGGTGGAGGGGACCGTTTTAAGCTTTCTATATAGCTTATTGTAGTTGTGTCAGGCTACCGAGACTCGAGTTGTTATCGTTCGCGGCACAATATGGAGGAGCTGCGACAAAATTCATTCATGATCTGCCGGTCCGCGGAGGCCGATTCGTCCAGATTATTTCCTCATGAAAAATAATCACAATGGGAGTCATTACATTCGGTTATTGCATACTTAACGCTAATGGGCCGACCTTACATTTCCTTGCTAGAATATGGGGCAAATTAATGAATGGTCTTTTATATATACACGTCTGACATACTCATTCTTTTCAAATCATGACTAACTATGTGATGACTAATAATCACAAGCCTCTCTTTTTTTTTTTTTTTTGTTCGATGCCAGACCGGACGGAATAAAACGTAAACTATTGAGAAACTAGATTAGAGATCCTTTATTTGTCCCACACTGGGGAAATTTACAGCCTTCAGCAGCAAGATTGTGGGTAGAAAGAAGAGAAACTTTACTACAGCAAAGTAGGTGAACATCGCTTCTCAAATTCTTCTCATCATCATGCCACACATTTTTGCTGCTTGTCGCCGAGGCCCTGAATCATTTTGGGGGTAGTTTGAATCAGCCTACGGGTCGAGCTAGTCAGAATACTTGTAGTTTCTTTCCCCCTGAAATGTAGGGACAGCAGGTTTGGCTGGATGCTCCATCATTACAATTTCACATCTTCCTTTTTTTTTCCCATTGAGCGCGTGAAGGCTCACTCTGTCCAGACCTGTCATTTAGAGTCTTTTTTTTAATATTTGACCACCAGATGGCGAGCTTTCCCCACAGTCTCTGAGAGGATGCAGCCGGCTCGTCAGCTTCTGCTGAGAGGGAGAGAAAGCGAGCTCTCTAAATTGAACCCACTAGTTGAGTGTGGTTTAAAAATATAACCCCTCGGTAGCCTCGAGGCGATATCTGAAACGTATTCCGCGTTTCATGGCCCAACAGTAAGTTGTAAGGCTAAAGAGAAAATGTCAGCTTGCCTTGAACAATTTCGACTGCCTCCTCCTCCTCCTCGACAACCTCACCAGTGAACCGACGACTTTGTAGAATGAGATCGCGCCAAAAGGAGAGGAAAATGTACTTTTGCAAGCAGGTAAGAAATCTGCTGATTGAAGTTTAGTGTGGTCGTCGGTCATTTATCTCCATTGCTGCTAGCGTGTGATGAGGCCTGAAAATTGAAAGAGGATCAAAGAGCACGTGTCCCCTTTTAGAGCACCGCGCTCATCGTTAATGACTCACGGAAGCAAGGTCTCTTCATCCATCCCGTCATTTGTCTGCTTTGATCATATAGTCCATTTCCGAACCTTCAAAATCTTTTTTTCGCAGGCGAGCCGGAGCTCTTTGTTGGGTCAAGCGCATGCTTCGTGGTTGGCCTTTTCATCCAACGACCAATCGCCAGCGTCATTCCAAA